ACCATTGCACGCGGATTCTTTTACTAGTCAGAGCACTGCGGCAACAGTCATCCATATTGATGCACAAGGTGACAATACTTTACACGTGCATAATCTACACTTTAAGCATGGAGTTTCATGTGGGAGCCTTCATAATTCGAATAGGATTTGCGGGTCCCTTATTATAACTATAGTATAATATACCCCAAACCCTATTCTAATTATTAAGGCCCCCATATAAGATTAAGGCCGCAGGGAGTTGAGGGTGTAGGGTCTCGGGCTCTTTGGTTTCTTAAGGACGTTACACTCGGGTTCAGGGTCTCAGGGTTTAGGGGAAGTCTTGGAACAGGTTTGCTGGCAAAGTCCACTTTGAGTCTGGCATAATCTGGCTGCAGAGAGGTTCGTCGGTTGTCGAAAGAAGACGACCACTAATGTGGGCGCTCCCCTTCGCTTCCAATCCACACCAGATTTTGCATAGCTTACTCCAGAGGCCTTATACCCCAGACTCCTCAAACCACAGGACAGAATGAGGGCTGCGGATGACTGGCATACATATCCGTGACCGCCGTTACAAGGAAAGCTTGCATGTCGGATTCGGCGGACCTACATCCATCTAACATAGGGGCCTTAATAATTAGAATAGGGTTTTGGGGCCCATTAAACTATAGTTATATTAAGGAACCCCCAAATAGTATTGGTAATTATTTAGGTCTCTATAGTATAGGATCTCCGGGGTCAATGGCAGCCCTCGTTCTAAGGAACCGATATGAACAAATCTAAGCCTGCTGTCATAAGAAAGCCCTGGGGTTGTTGAACTCAACCCTTTGGAAATTCGAGGTTTAGGGTTGTTTAGAGTCTAAAACTTTCAGTTACAAGTTATAACGTATAGTTTCGGGGCCAGGGTGGCATCCTCGAATCAAATTTTTCGGAACTCTCGGTTCTCGTGTATTTAACTCGGCAAGCCACAAAAACCGAACGACGAGCTTGGGTTTATGCGTTTGAGGGCTAGGTGTCCAGTTTCCAAACCAGGCCGCATTGATGGCAAGGATCAGCAAGATCACCAGCGGCTCGACATAAGCCGAGAGGCCTGCAGGTTAGGGTTTAGGGTTTAGGGGTTTATGGGTTAGGGCTTATGGGGTTTAGGGGTTTAGGGTGCCAGGGTGTCCTCAAAGTCCCCGAAAATCCCTATTATTCACCATTCCATACCTTAAGACCCTGCTCTGATTGTCAACACCCAGGGTCTAATCGAACCCTAGAACAACCCTCAACTGTTTAGGGCTTAGGGTTTCTATTCGAACCCTAGAACAACCCTCAGCAAACCCCTTTTTGCACAGGCCTGCGTTAATACCGCCTGGACGTGTCGCAGCCGTTCTCCGAGCAAACCCTAAACCCTGAACCCTAGAAGTCCACGAGTGAACTACTAGAGGCGCCGCACAGTGCGGGGGCCCTGGCACTTTGAGGACACAGACGGGCACTGCAGGCTACTAGTCCCCAAACTAGGGGTTAGGGCCGGGTTAGGGTTAGAGGTACATAATATAAGGTCGCTGATGAGTAGAGAAGGGTTCTGAGGTAAGTTATGGTACGACTACACGACGAACTTACGGACTCGGTAGGCCACAGAACCTGCTCAGACCCTTCATTGGGCCTTCCTCTTTCTGTTCAGAATTGAAGTACGCCAGGAGGAAGGACACAAATGCAGACCTTGCTCGCGACTTTGACTTTCAGCTTTATGCGACTTCCGAACTCTCTCTCTCTCTCGCTCTCTCTCTCTCTCTCTCTCTCACGGACTCAGTCACCTGTCAGCCGCGACGCAAACTTATGAACTACATCGGTCATAACCAATGGCTTGAACTCACGAACGATGAAAGACCTAACTCAAGAAGCACGCTGCCTAAGCAGGGGAAGTGCCCTTCTTCAGCTGAAGCTCAAGAGAAGGATCCGCACCAGAAGGTCGTCGAACTGTTCCAGAACCAGCTGCCACAGCGTCTTCTTTGCCTGTCCCGGACTCTCGGTGATGCTGTCCGAGTTTAGGGCTTGGGAGCCCGGGGGAAGTTTGCTTACCCTCCATCGCTTGTTGATACATTTCTGTTACTATTTCCTTCCTGTCCCGCAGTGAGCAGGTAGACCGTGCAAAAGCAGTTTCACAAAACAAGTGACCTCACATATTGTCAGGCCCAAACCTCAGCCACTTCTCAACGTCATGCTAAGCATCAAGCTGTCCAGGCCCACCCCACAATCCTTTCAGGTCAACAGGCCGTGTGCACCACCAACGCTGTCAACATTTTGACTTACGATGGTGAAGACGGCGAGAGACGATAGAAATCTCAGTCATGCTCCGCGCCAGTACAACGGAGCTTATTCTGGTGATGATGATGATTGCGCGGACTCTAGATTCTAGATATCCTCACCAACACCGTAACCATTATCATCGTCATCGTTGTCAACACCCATGGAATGATTATCCGAATTACCATCGTCATCATCATCGTCCTCATCACCCTGAACAACGACAACATAAGTGTCATGTTCAAAGGTCCTCGCAGCAGCAATTGCAGACGTCCTCATCCACATCAACAACCCGGCCATGTCAGTAAGGCAGCGGCAACAGCAAAAAACAAGCTGCGACAACAGCAGCGGCAACAGCAAGAAGGACAAAACGACTGTAGAAGATCACGGCAGCCGAACCACCGTCGTCACAATCAACATCAACCGCAATGGAAAGAGCCGATGTTGATACCATACCCGAAATCCCATGCAATACCACAGTTGTTGAAGTGCCCTGTAACAGTCGGCAAAAGGACCCCAAACGCGACTCCTGCTCCGCCAGCTGGTTCCATCCGAAGACGGACCTTTGTTCTGCGACCTCGGGGGGATGTCCAAAGTGAAAGGGATGGCTTGTACCCAGAGACTCCAATATTCCTTAATTAAGGAATCTTTAAATTATAGTAGGATCCTTAATATGATTTAAGGTATGTTCCTTGATTAAAAGATATTGGAGTCTCTGGGTATCCAGACGGCAAGTCTGCGTGCGGGAAAACCACGGCCCTTGCCCCATTGCTGGAGTGCCACTAGTAAAGCTTTGGGGGAATGCTGCAATGCAGCGCCTCCCTAAACCCTAACTCCTAAGTTAGGAATTTCGCGCCTTCACGGCTGCTTGGAAGACCAGGTCATGCCGAACCAAAGGAAAATGGTGCAGGGCAGTAACAACACCCAGTCTACAGCGATAGCCGCCTGTCCAATCAGAATGGGGCTTTGGCGCATGCTCTACTCTGATTGCAACAAGAACCCTAGCGAATAGTAGTGGTGACCATCTAGCCTTCTCTATTACCTGAACCACCAACTTCTGAACCCCGGTCTTCCCTGCCAGCTTTACAGCCCACCCCGTAACCCAGAGACTCCAATATCCCTTAATTAAGGAATATACCCTAAATCATCTTAAGGATCCTACTATTAATTTAAGGAGTATTCCTAAACCCTAAACCCTAAACCCTAAACCCCAAACCCTAAACCCTAAACCCTAAACCCTAAACCGTTTGGAGTCCCTGGGAACCATTGGCTCACCGGGCCTGGGTCGGTTTCCCTTTCCTGCCTGAACCTGAGTGTGCCTTAGCGCGGTCCCACGGCTTAGGGTTTAGGGTTTAAGGGTTTAGGGTTTAAGGGTTTAGGGTTTAGGGTTTAGGGTTTAGGGTCCCACGGCTTAGGGTTTAGGGTTTAAGGGTTTAGGGTTTAGGGGTTTAGGGTTTAGGGTTGCAATGTGTGAACTCGCAAACCCCACTCAAACTCTTTAAGAAATAAAAAAAATCTACCACTGCAATGCCACTTAAGAACCGGAGCTCAAGCAAAAACCCTAAAGCCTGATATCAAGGCACCAGGCTCCGCTGCGTTACGGTAGGGCTATATACCCAGGGACTCCAATATCCTTTAATTAAGGAATATTCCTTAAATTAATAGTAGGATCCTTAGGATGATTTATGGTATATTCCTTAATTAAGGGATATTGGAGTCTCTGGGTAAAGGGGGCTGGAGGTCGGTAATGCAGGGGCCTTAATAATTACCTATATTATTTTGAAAGGTTCCTTATTGTACTGATACGTACTATAAAGGACCCCGAAACCCTATTCTGATTATTCACGCCCCTATATTCTAATCATACGTATGTATCTATCTATCTATCTATCTATCTATCTATCTATCTCTCTCTCTCTCTCTCTCTTCCGTGCCATCCTCGAGGGTCTCGCTACGCAACGGCACGTCACGACAGTCTAGAAAATTAGGAGGCGTAGCACGAACGCAGAGCCTCCGTCCTTCAGGTTTAGGGTTTTTTCTCACCCGCCCAGCTGACAAGGTTTAGGGTTTGGGGTTTAGGGGTCTAACCCCATGAAACTGGACACGAACTGACATCAAGCACGCTCTGGTCTGCCAGCCAGGCCTTCAACAAACCAGGGGCATGCAAATGTAAGCACAGTCTGAGGACCTCCTGCAATAAACAATCTCGCTGCAGAGGTTCGGCCGAGAAGTTGGGACAACACAGCTCTACATCACGTGGTACAGGTATGTATGTATGCATGTATGTATGTATGTATGTATGTATGTATGTATGTATATATATATATACACATGTCTGTGTATAGATAGAAAGAGAATAGATATATATATATATATATATGGGACCTAATTATTGCGCGAAACAACTAAAGTATATTGTTCAGTCCCCTATAGCTATGCTGACACCAAGGCGCTTGTTCCTCCGAAAGGCCACGATCTAGGGTCACGTTGAAGAAGTCAAGCACTGCCTGAACCCTAAACCAAACCCCGAACCCCAAACCCTGAACCGCGACGCTTCTCGGGGCTTGCGAGGTAAGCTGCGGGCCTTGGCAGGTATAGGAATCTTACAATGATGAGGGCCATAAAAGCCCGAGAACAACGTGCCAGCTTGCACGGACTATTAGATTCTCGGGGACATAGTAGCTATAACTATAACACTCAGGGACTCCAATACCCCTTAATTAAAGAAATTCCTTAAATTTTGGTGGGATCCTTGATATGATTTAAGATATATTCCTTACTTAAGGGATATTGGAGTCTTTGGGCAGCTTTGGGAACAACCGCCAAATTTCTTTGATGCGCTTCGAGAGAGCTGAAACTCTAAGGGGTGGCATGGGGTTCATCTGAACCCAGAGACCCCAATATCCCTTAGTTAAGGAGTATTCTTTAAATTATAGTAAGATCCTACTATAATTTAAAGAATGTTCCTTAAACTTTGGTAGGATCCTTCATATGATTTAAGGTATACTCATAAAAAGTGGCTGGGTAATGTATTTCCGTTCCTCGCATGGCAATGACATGAATGCTTGGCGTCCTCAAATCTGGACAGGCTACCGACAGTACATCGAAGCGACTCACAGAACGACCGCATGTAATCTGAAGCCCAAAGACAAAGAATCCCAGCCCTAAACCATAAACAGCCAGATCCCAAACAACCTAACTGAATCCCCGGTCCCGTTTCCGAACTCACAATTACAAGCCCTGAAACCCTGAACCCTTCATGCTGAAGCCTTTGCACTTTGAACACTAAACCCTGACTCCTCAACCCAAAGCAGCGATAAAGCACAGGTGCCTGCTCGGTAGCAGCATGCGCCCCTGAGGGAAGTTGCAGCGTTGTGGCCTCAGATCTGGGCATCGAACGGAAGCGTTCGAATCGCAGATCGGCTTGGGTTTGGGGTTTCATTGATAAGACCCATAGACTCCAATATCCCGTAACTAAGGAACATGCCTTAAATCATAATAAGGATCCTACTAGAATTCAAGGAATATTCTTTACTTAAGGGATATTGGAGTCTCTGGGTGATAAGAGGTTTAGGCTGGTACAGGTCTGTAACTAGACTTTGAAGTAACCAGGGAGAAAAAAGTATAGACTTTAATTTCATAATGGCTCCCTTAAGGAACAGGTCCCCAAAACAAGTATACAAGTATGGTACTCCAAAGCCCCTAAACCCTAAAATCCAAAACCCTAAACCCTGAACCCTAAACCCTAAACCCTAAAGTCTAAACCCTGAACCCATGAAACCCCTAAAATCCCAAACCCTAAACCCCAAACCCATGAAACCCATGAAGCCCCTAAAATCCAGAAC